CTCTACATTATTAAAACAGTTAACACTGAAAAGCATCACTGAAAGTACTCAAGAATATGGGTAACGATGTGTATCAGTGCTATACCGACGGCTCTGTAGAAGAAGGTGGACGATGTACCGGATGTGCATGTAATATATTTGAACAATCTTCTCTCGCACATACAGCAATGAAGCGTGTCAATGACTGGGCAAGTACAACTCAAACCGAACTTGCAGGCATATACCTTGCCACTGAATTTTTAAAAGACAAAGGCTGTGGACTTATATACTGTGACTCGCAGACTGCACTCCTGGCATTGAACGCACATAGTAGTGACACCCAGAAAATAGTCAGTGACATTCGAATGAATGATTTAGCTGCTAAAGAAAACAGATTTGAAATTAAATTCCTATGGATACCATCACATGTTGGCATCTCAAGGCATGACACTGTTGATATGCTTGCAACGACAGCCTGTAGAAAACCAGTGATAGAAATTGATATGGGTGTTTCATTAGCAATGACAAAGAAAATACTTAAATATCTAATGAAGATCTCACCGACCTAACAAATTCACAAAGACCTGAAAGTTGTACCATTAAATATTATGATAGATATCATGAGGAGACATTCACATATGGGACTAATAGAACAAGAACCCGGCAATGTGATGTTATAGTGGCCAGAATACGCCTGGGATATAGACGTATCTGGCAGCTTTCTCAAAACCCAAATGTCGAGTACACAATGTGTCAACTTTGTGAAAGAGAAAACATGCACTCTATTGAACATTATATTGTAGAATGTCCCATACTGACTGACATTCGCCCTCCTGGGCTAAGGTATGCTGAACTCTGTAATTACTATATGAGTACTGGAACACTTGATGATATATTGGACTTGTATCCAAGATTGACCATGTAATATATCAATTATACAATGTATATATATGATGTACCTATATAACCTGAGCTTGTAAAAGCAACTTCATCACCTTCAGTGATTAGGTGCTTAATTGCACACTAGTTTCTTTATCAGCTATCTCACCCTGTCAGAGTAAATGAGACAAATGCATGTGAATGCATGTGTGTGTATATATGTATGTATATGTGTGTGTATGTATATGTATGGGCATAAAGTATATATGGAAGCTGATCAGAATTACATTTCACCTTTGTGAATGTACATTAATGACACAATGTAAAAGACACATCAAACACTTTATGTAGGGCATACGTAAATCTGTGTATCTATGTATTTACGTATGTAGGTTAGCTTAGCATTTTAAAAGCACCGAATCACCTTCTGTGGTTGAGTGTTCAATAAACCCTTGAACTATATGTTTAACATTTCTCTAACCATGTCCATGGAAGACAGAAGAAAATGTATATATGCTGGTTAGCATTGTAAATGTGTGGCCACGTCTGTGGTAGAACAAAAAAATCTCTCATCTATCCTTATCTCAACTATGGTATTTGTGCTTGGGATTATACTACCCAAAATCATTTACGTCCTCTAAGTACCCAACACAAAGCTGCTATTAGATCAATATCTAACTCTGGCCCCAGACAGCACTCGGTACCCTTACTCAAATCACTGAATATGTTAGATATTAAGTCACTACACATCCTCTCTTGTGTACTCTATATATTTAAAACTCTGAATTGTAATGTCAATCCTTATCTTCAACGTTTCCTGAAAGGTTATAACAGAACTCATGAGCACCACACCAGAAACAAATACCTATTTGGTATTCCAAGAGTACGACTTAATCAAGCTAGGAATGCTCTACAAATCAAGGGACCCAGAATGTGGAATGACCTTCCCAATCATGTCAAAGATTATACCTTTCTCAACCAGTTTAAGATGAACACTAAGTACTACCTAAAAACTCCATGTAACCTACCTTACTTCAATATGTCAACCCATGTCTTACTAATTTAAAAAAAAATGCTGTTTGTTGACCAATTTGTATATTGGCTATTTTCTGCCATGTTCCCCCCTTTTTTTATCTTTTATTATTGTTTTCATTCAACACAATTTATACTTTAAGCTCATTTACTATTAAGTTTAAGTCTAAGTGGTTTTTTTTCCCACCACACCTTGCCTAAAACGCTATGTGTACTAGTGGCTTTAGGTATTGTATGTACTACCTCTATCTTTAAATCAAACAGAATGTTTGTACTGTAACTCTGCAACTATGTATGTACTTTTCCTAAATAAATTATTATTATTATTATTATTATTATTATTATTATTAATATTACATCAGTGCTTCGTTAGAGATGGCATGGTCAAAGTGAGAAAGACTTCTGCAGGTAAAATGTTTACAATTGCTAATAAGGATAACCTCAACACTTTCCTCACCCAATGTGGTTTGTCTCACCTTATTATCCCTCTCAATGACTCATCATAATTAACCCCCTTGTCACCAAATGCGGGCTAGGGGCCATATTCACGAAGGTACTTATGAATGTTTTTCTTTCTTAGTGCCTTCGTAGCGGCTACGTCGGTATTCAAGTAGGCACACTTAGAAGAAAAACCTTCTTAAGTTTGCTCCGTCCGCTAAGTGTGCTGTCGACCACTCGTAGCTTTACGTAAACTGGATATAAGTAAATTTGTCTCTACTACACAACACGGAGGATCGATTGTAATATAAACAAAAAGATTATAGCTGGTGAAGAGGAGTCCTTCGTATTAGTTATATATGCATTCTCTGCTTGAAACTTGAAGTAAATATGTCTTTTATGATATTAGAATTAGTTTTATAATAGCAAGATATTATACCAGTAGTTATTAAGTAAATAAACACTTGTGAACATGAAATGTGAGAGAAGGTGATGAGCCCTGCCTGATGGGATCATTTACTATCACCAAATGCCCCTCTTCACCTAGTAATCAGTAAGGGTGTACCTTAGCTATACATACCTATTTCTAATTTATTTAGTTTTGTTTTATTTTGAAATTAAATGTGTGTGAGATATAAAATAAAAATATGCTGCACAAATGATGTTAGGTAAGGAGAAGCGTAAAAACTTTCAAAAACTTTTCTCATTGAATACTTAAAGCTATAATTATGACTATATTGCAGATGACGCAATGGATCAAATACATAAGATTCAGGCCGAGGAAACCCACTCAGCTCAAAGTGTCTTCCTTCTAAAGCTAGAAAAACAAATCAATCTCTCTCAGATTCACCAGGCGGCTTCCGAAAATGACCTAGAGAAGCAACAACTTCATGACTCCCTGATAATTAGCTCTACTGATCTACTTGATGAACAACAAGGTGAGAATTGCTGTAACATAGCCCACACCCTAATTATTTCAAAGATCAAAGTCAATGTTGATATCAAATCAGCTGTGAGGATAGATAAAAACAGTTCCCGTAGCAGTAGGAGAATGCTCATCAAACTTGCAAATCCCTCTGACCTCATACAATCAGCTGCTAAGCAAAAAACCAATCTCTATATAAATGAGTGCCTTACAAAGCAGCGTGGATCCCTCCTCTTCAGGCTGCGTAAAATTCGCAAACTAAACCCAGGACGTATCAAGCAGTGCTATACTAGGAATGGAACGATTATTGTAAAGAAAGAAAGTGGAGGAAAAAGATATGAAATAAAGTGTGACCAACAACTACTGGCCTTCTTTAGTGATTGTGGTATATCTGAAAACCTGAACCCGACCAATGCCAGTACTGAAACTAACTCTGAGTGTCTGAGCCTAACCTAACTTAATCTAACCTTGTCCAAAGTGCTGTCTCTGCCTTACCATTTACCCAATGTTCTCTCATTCATATAAGTTCCTAAGTAATCAGTGAAGTCTCCATGCACTCATGCAAGCATCTACCTCAGTATCATTGTAAAATTTTACTCTTAAATCTAATCTTACCCTATTCTTTTTAAATTTTAAATTTAATTGTACTGATTTATGTCATTTATTGAAATTAATTATTGATTTCATTTTGTTTTCTTAATTAAGTTCATACTAGTTATAGGTTAAAAACTAAGCTAAATAAAATTAATTATCTTTAAGATTATTTTACTTTACAATTATCATTTGTCTAATTTTTTTTGTTATATCATCTTGTCAACTGAATCAGTAGAAACTGTCACCTTGACAGTTTCTACTAATTTTTTGTTTTCTCCACCAAACTTGTGTATACACCATGGGTATCTAGTGACCTTTATTCTACTTCTAATTGTTTCAATTTTTGTTTACTTGCATTTATTGTTGTGTTTTGCTATAATAATTCTCTAATTATAGCAGACTTAGTATTTATGTAAGCATCTACATCAGTGTCTCAGTAAAATCTTGCTTATAAATATAATCTTACCCTGTTATTTTTTTAAATTTTTAAATTTAATTGTAATTTGATTTATACATCATTTATTGTAATTAATTATTGAGCTCATTTTGTTTTCTTAAGTTCATACTAATTATAGGTTCACAACTAAGCTATATTAAATAATTTATTTTTAAAATTATTTTTACTTTACGATTATTATTTGTCTCATTATTTTTACTATATATTATTCCTGTCAGTCTACTGATTTTTCTCTTAACCTAACTTCTGTATCCTTCCTGGCTATCTACGGTGATCTTGGATCACTTGGATCACTTATGGACTAATATAACAGCTCGCCTTACATCTGGGGTAATCTATGACAGATCAACTGACCACTATCCTACCTTCCTCAGCAAAAATGGACACACCACCACCAGAAAGCAAGAAACTCTCATTCAGGCTACACAGTAAATCAGCTTTAGGCAATCTCTCTAATGCACTTCACAATATTAACTGGGAATCTGAATTCAATAATACACAGGATATAAACTCATTAACTAACCTCTTTCTATCCGAAACTCTAAGCCTCTACAACACTCACTATCCCCTCCTTACCAAACAAGCAACTGACAAAAGAAAACACAATTCGTGGCTCATAAGTAGCATAATCAAATCAATCAACAAAAAACATGAATATGAAAAGAAATTTAGGATTGGCCTAGTTACAAAGGAAGTTGTTAAAAGGTACTCATCAGTGCTTACCAGTACCATAAGAAAAGCTAAAATTTCATATTATGAGACTAGATTCAAAGAAGCAAAAGGAAACATGAAAAGCACATGGAATACCATCTCTAATATCCTAGGAACTAAACAACACTCCCACAACCAGATAACACACTCTAAGGATGGCTTTACACCGTCAACTGATATAAAAATGGCAAATGAATTTATTAGCTTCTTTTCGTCGGTTGGGGCTAACCTTGCCAGTAAAATCCCACAGACTCAGACACATAATACATCTCTCTCAGGCAGCTATCCAAACACTCTTCTCCTTTCACCAGTCAGCCCGAAAGATGTTGTGTCCATCATACACTCACTAAAAACCAAAGCTGGGAACATCAGTGAAATCCCATCCATTGTATACAAGAGCGCCTCCCATGCCCTTGCGCCACCTATAGCTCTGCTGTTCAACAAATCCCTCGAGTGTCATACCTTCCCTGATATCCTTAAAAAAGCAAGAGTAACACCAGTACATAAAGGAGGTAATCCGGCAGACATAACAATTATAGACCAATATCAAACCTACCCATACGATCAAAAATATTTGAAAAAATTATCTACCAACAGCTCTACTCCTATCTCGTAAAATTCGACATTCTTAGCCCCTGTCAGTTTGGCTTCCGCTCCCAAAAGAGTTACAACGATGCAATTATTAGTCTCCTTGATATAATTTACTCAGCCCTTGACAAAAACGAGTTTCTGACTGGACTCTTCATTGACCTGAGAAAAGCCTTTGATACTGTTAATCACAATTACCTCTTACGTAAACTCCATCATTATGGAATCCGAGGCCATGCACTGGACTATATCCAATCCTATCTTAGTGATAGACACCAATGTGTAGCCATCAATAATATAACCCCTCCTACTTTACCAATAACCGTTGGAGTGCCACAGGGCAGCATCTTGGGACCTCTCCTATTTCTTATATACATCAATGATCTGCCTAATGTCTCTAACATTCTGAAATCTATTTTGTTTGCAGATTATACTACCCTCATCTACTCTAACCCCAACCCACATACACTAAATAATGTTGTTAATAATGAACTAAAAAAAAGTCCACTTATGGATGTCAACCAACAAACTAACACTTAACATAGAAAATACCTACTACATCTTATTTGGAAGCAAATCTGCAAATGCAATTCAGCTTCAGATAGACATTGTAAACATTAGTAATAAAAATGATGGAAAGTTTCTTGGCCTATTCCTAGACAAGAGACTCAACTTCAGCACCCACATACAACACATATCTAAGAAAGTCTGAACAACTGCACTTCCAGCGGCACCCGTGGTGCGGTGTAGGGAACCATCAGTGTATATGGCGATGGCTTGTACTTTGAGTGGGGAGTCCGTATAAACAACTGGGCCTCTACCCTTCAGATTGAACTATTTGCCTTGCTCCTTGCACTGAAATGTGTACAAGTCTCCAAACTTGATACATTAATTGTAAGTGACTCCTTATCATCCTTAAATGCTCTCAACTCTTTAAGACATAACTGTAACATGCTCGTGTCCGAGGCTATCTTCTTGAGATCTTGAGATGATTTCGGGGCTTTTTTTTTTTAGTGTCCCCGCGGCCCGGTCCTCGACCAGGCCTCCACCCCCAGGAAGCAGCCCATGACAGCTGACTAACACCCAGGTACCTATTTTACTGCTAGGTAACAGGGGCATAGGGTGAAAGATGAAGCAATAGGGAGAAAGAAGCATGTTAAGGGTGAGTTTGTTGGCAGTTAGCCAAAGATGGACTTTCTCTAGCTCAGTATTATCTCTTCCTCTCCTCTCCTCTCTCTCTCTCTCTGTTCTTCCCTCTCTTCTCTCTCTCCCCCCCTTCCTTCCCTCTTCTTTCTCTATTCTCTCATTCTTCTCCCCCCCTTTTCTTCTATTCTCTCTTTCTTCTCTCTTTTCTTCTCTGTTCTCTTCTCTCAACTTTGTCTTTCTCCTCTTTTCTCTCTATTTCCCTCCCGTTCATCTCTCTCTCTCTCCTTTTCTTCTTTCTATCTTGTTCCCTCTTTCTTCTCTCTCCTCCTTCCTCGCGCTCCCTCTCTCCTCCTCCTCCTCTCTCTTTCTGCTTTTCTTCTTCTTTCAAACACTCCCCCCTCCTGTTTTCCTCGCTCTCTCTTTCTTTTCTTTCCTCTCTCTCTTTTTCTCTCCCCTCTTCTCTCTCTCTCTCTCTCTCTCTCCTCTCGCTGTCTCACTATTCTTCTATCTTTCTAAATGCAATGAAGATTATACCTAATAATTCTAATGATTAATAAGCAGAATTAACGTTTTAAAAATCTTTGCTCCAAAACGTTATATCATACCATTTAAAGCACTTTTTATTAAAACGTTATGACGTTTTATACTCTTCTTTACAAATTCTCAAAACACGTATATTAAACGTAATTTAAAACGTGCGCAAAACAAAGAAATGTCGTTTTTAGCACATTTAGAAAACGTGAAAATGTTTGGTAGGATATATGAAAGCTGCAAAGCAGTTAAGTTTTTGCCTAGACAGCTTAATATACAATACATATAAATAATAAACCAAATTTATTTTCATTATTAACATTTTATTGCTAAATATTGCACCGATACGTTAGTTAACAAAAAATAAGAAAGGTTATTTAGAGGTGGTCCACATTATTGCAGTCAACACTGCAGCGAGAGAAGTCATAATATAAACAAAACACAGTATTAAAGAATTATCCAAAGGCCAATACTGTATGACTGGGTAAAGGCACTGAACTACAGCGAACAATAAAACTATTTTGATTTAAATATGACTTGCAATGGGTCTAAGCACTTGCAGTAAAATTAAAAGATTGTACTATTTCTACTGACAATGGCTGACTTCTGAACTTGTACATGATGCCTGGAACAATCATTTACACCCAATGAACAAAATTTTTCCATATTCATGTACTTTGCATTTGATACCTCTAGGATAGAATAGGGATTTTTTCCATTATTTATGAGCATTACACCAGTACCAAGGAGGTGCAGTGAAGAATCTTTACAGAAACAAGACATATACAACTATGTGTTAAACAAATACCGCTCCCATTTATAAACAGAGCATTACAGATGCTCTTAATTTTGAAGGTTAATTTTTATTACTTTAGATAAACAGGAATAATTACAAACTGTAGCCTAACAGATATATTTGTGTTCACCTGCTGGTTAATTCTTCCTTCTCGGCAACATTCAACGAATTTAGACTCAATGCTGGTGAGCTGCCAAGAGTTGATGAAACGTCTTGATAAGAGAATTTGTTGAAAGTCTGTAAATAAATTTAATTATCTTTAGCACAATATAATGTACACTATGCAAAGACAAGAATCAATTGGAAACAAATTGCAAGCCATGGAAGAGTAAAATAAACTTAAAAATAGCTTTGGAAAAAGTTAAAGTAAATTTAATCTTAAATGACTACGATAGGTTAGGTAAGGAAATTCAACAGGAAAACGGCTTTTGTCATTACAAATGAGGAAGTTACACAGGGAATAGAACAATACAAGAAAGATATGCAACTCACCTATGCACAATTGGCCAAGAAGGAAAAATTAGAAGAGGCAGTAAAGGAAGCCAAACACTGCAGCAACCAGGATAAAACAAACATTAGGCTGGAAGTTAGAAAGGAACTGGCATCAAATCCTAAATTGGTGCAAAACACAGTTGATCGAAGTAGGTCCCTGATAATTTTGGTTGCAAAGAAAAGTTAACAACATCTAGGTCAGAAAGAGCCGTAGAAGAAGAGAAAGTAGTAGATAAAATTGCTGGCCTCGTGGAAGGTCTTACTACCATAGGAGTACCTGATTGAAGAAGGGTTATTGAACTCGAGGAGGAGTACTGAAAACAAAAGGCTGGCATTTTGAAAGGGTAACTATGAGGATAAGACAATTCCTAACCGATATAGCATTGTAAAGAGAGCTCGGCTCGGGGAAAGATGGCCCAAGACATGATGGACTACATCACCCACTAGTGCAAGGAAGCAGCAAACAAGTTTGTCCCAGTCCAAAAGATAAACAGTGAAATGAAGATGAGAAACTCATGGTTTAATCAGAGATGTAAGCTAGCTAAGCAGCAAAGTTAAAGGGCGTGGAGAAACTATAGAAATAACAGGACACTTGAGAGCAGAGAAAGATACCAGAGTGCCAGGAATGAATGTCAAAATGAGAAGAGGCAGAAAGACAATACGAAAATGACATAGCAAGCAAGGCAAAGACTCAGCCTAAATTGCTGCACAGTCACATCAGGAGAAAAACAACAGTAAAGGAACAGGTTATGAGATTAAGGATAGGGGCAGAAGGATTCCCTACAAACAACAAGGAAGTGTGTGAGGAACTGATTAAGAAATTCCAGGTCTTCATCTTAGAGCAAGGAGAAATTCCAGAGATAAGAGAGGGAATAGTTAACCAGGAACCACTGGAAGAGTTTGAGATTACCAGCGGGGAAGTAAGGAAGTGTTTACTAGAGTTGGATGTGACAAAGGCTATAGGCCCAGATGGAATCTCCCCTTGGATACTAAAGGAAGGACCAGAAAAACTGTGCCTGCCACTCTCCATAGTGTATAACAAATCACTGGCAACAGGGGAACTGCCAGAAATTTGGAAAGCAGCTAAATTAGTCCCGATATACAAGAAAGGGGATAGACAGGAGGCACTGAACTACAGGCCAGTGTCCCTAACCTGCATACCATGCAAGCTGATGGAGAAGATTGTGTGAAGAAAGCTAGTGGAACATCTGGAGCAAAAGAACTTTGTAACACAGCATCAACATGGATTCAGGGATGGCAAGTCCTGCCTCACAGGGTTACTTGAATTCTACGACCAGGCAACAAAATTCAGGCAAGAAAGAGAAGGGTGGGCAGACAGCATATTTTTGGATTGCCAGAAAGCCTTCGATACAATACCACACAAGAGGCTAGTGAAAAAGCTGGAGATGCAGGCTGGAGTGAAAGGGAAGGTACTCCATTGGATAAATAAGTAGCTAAGCAACAGGAGACAAGTCAATGTGAGGGCTGAGGTCTCAGACTGACGACATGTTACAAGTGGAGTCCCGCAGGGGTCAGTCCATGGACCTATACTGTTTCTGATACATGTAAATGATCTCCCAGAGGGTATAGACTCGTTTCTCTCAATGTTTGCTAAAGATGCAAAAATTATGAGGATTGTAACAGGATGATAGGAGGCTACAAGATGACCTAGACAGACTGAATGAATGGTCCAACAAATTGCTGTTAAAGTTCAACCCGAGTAAATGCAAAGTAATGAAACTAGGCGGTGGAAACAGGAGGCCAGACACAGGATACAGAATAGGAGATGAAGTACTTAATGAAACAGACAGAGAGAAAGATCTAGGAGTTGATATCACACCAAACCTGTCTCCTGAAGCCTACATAAAAAGAATAACGTCTGAGCATATGCGAGGCTGGCTAACATCAGAACAGCCTTCAGGAACCTGTGTAAGGAATCATTCAAAATCTTGTACACCACATATGTAAGACCAATCCTGGAGTATGCGGCCCCAGCATGGAGCCCGTACCTCGTCAAGCACAACACGAAGCTGGAAAAAGTTCAAAAGTATGCCACTAGACTAGTCCCAGAACTAAGAGGCACGAGTTACCATGAAAGGCTGCGAGGAAATGCACCTTACGACACTGGAAGACAGAAGAGTAAGGGGAGACATGATCACTACCTACAAAATCCTCTGGGGAATCGACCGGGTAGACAAGGATAAACTATTCAATACTGGTGGTACGCGAACAAGGGGGGGGGGGGGGCAGGTGGAAACTAAGTATCCACATGAGCCACAGGGACGTTAGAAAGAGCTTTTTCAGTGTCAGAGTAGTTAACAGGTGGAATGCATTAGGCAGTGATGTGGTGGAGGCTGACTCCATACAGTTTCAAGTGTAGATATGATAGAGTCCAGTAGGCTCAGGAACCTGTACACCAGTTGATTGACAGTTGAGAGGCGGGACCAAAGAGCCAAAAGTCTTTGGGAATTCCCTCAAGCACAAATAGGCGAGTACACACGCACGCACACACGCACGCGCGCACACACACACACACGCACGCACGCACGCACGCACGCACGCACGCACGCACGCACGCATCACAAACAGGATTTAGCACCTAGGTGAGGGCTTGACCATACTACTGTCGGTCACCCTCCTCCTCTCCCTCCCCCAGCTGACACTCGCTCCCATCTCCAGGATTCCCTCCCTCCGGGCCCTCCGTCTCCTGTCCCACCCTCCGTCTCCCTCCCTCCCTCCGTCTCTCTCGCTCCCTCCCTTCCCTCCCTCCGTCTCTCTCCCTCCGTCCCTCCCTCCGTCTCCCTCCCTCCTCTCCCTCCGTCTCTCTCCCTCCCTCCCTCCCTCCGTCTCTCTCCTCCCTCCCTCCCTCCCTCCGTCTCTCTCTCTCCCTCCCTCCCTCCCTCCGTCTCTCTCTCTCCCCCCCTCCCTCCCTCCCTCCGTCTCCCTCTCTCCCTCCCTCCCTCCCTCCCTCCCTCTCTCCCTCCCTCCCTCCCTCCCTCCGTCTCTCTCTCTCCCTCCCTCCCTCCGTCTCTCTCTCTCTCCCTCCCTCTCTCCGTCTCTCCCTCCCTCCGTCTCTCCCTCCCTCCGTCCGTCTCCCTCCCTCCCTCTCTCCCTCCCTCCGTCTCCCTCCCTCCCTCCGTCTCTCCCTCCCTCCGTCTCTCCCTCCCTCCGTCTCTCCCTCCCTCCGTCTCTCCCTCCCTCCGTCTCTCCCTCCCTCCGTCTCTCCCTCCCTCCGTCTCTCCCTCCCTCCGTCTCTCCCTCCCTCCCTCCGTCTCCCTCCCTAGACACAATAAGAATTCCAGAGAACAACATAGAGCACATAGGTGTGTCTAGAGACGAAGTGAAACAAATGCTCCTGGAGCTAAGAACAAAGCAGTTGGCCCAAATGGAGTTTCACCATGCGTTCTGAGATAATGTGCACCTGAGCTCAGCATTCCACTTCACCTGATTTTTTTAGACATCTCTGTGTACAGGAGTCGTAGCAGACGTGTGGGAAAAAGGCTAACATAGTTCCAATCTACAAAAGTGGCAGCAGGGAAGACCCCCTCAATTATATACCTGTATCATTGACAAGTGCAACAGTCAGAATATTGGACAAAAATAAGAATAAATGGGTAGAACACCTGGAGAAAAATGATATAATATCAGACAGTATGGTTTTCGATCTGGAAGATACTGTGTATCGAATTTACTCAGTTCCTATGATCGAGCCACAGAGATTTTAGAGGAAAGAGATGGTTGGATTGATTGCATCTATTTGGACTTAAAATAGACTTTCGACAGAGTTCCACATAAGAAGTTGTTCTGGAAACTGGAAAATATTGGAGGGGTGACAGGTAAACTTCTAACATGGATGAAAATTTTTATGACTGAGGGCAGAAATGAGGGCAGTAATCAGAGGCAACGTATCGGGCTGGAGAAAAGTCACAAGTGGAGTACCAATAGAGTTCACATCTTGCACCGATGATGTTCATTGTCTACATAAATGATCTACCAGATGGAATACAGAATTATATGAACATGTTTGCTGATGGTAAGGTAATAGGAAGGATAAGAAACGTAGATGATTGTCATGCCCTCAAGAAGACCTGGACAAAATAAGTATATGGAGCACCACTTGGCAAATGGAATTTAATGTGAATAAACGCGATACTATGGAATAGGAGAACACAGACCCCACACAACCTATAAATTATGTGAGAAATCTTTAAAGAATTCTGATAAATAAAGATCTAGATCATCACCCGAGGACCACATAAAGAAGGTTCTACAAGGAGCCTATACTACGCTTTCTAACTTCAGAAATGCTTTTAAATACATGGATGGGGAAATACTAAACGAATTGTTCACGACTTTTGTTAGGCCAAAGATAGAAGATGCAGCGGTTGTGTGGTGCCCATATCTTAAGAACCAAATCAACAAACTGGAAAATGTGCAAAGACATGCTACTAAGTGGCTCCCAGAACTGACAGGCAAGAGCTACGAGGAGAGGTTAGAGGCATTAAATATGCCAAAACTAGAAGACAGAAGAAAGATGTGTGATATGATCACTACTTACAAAATAGCAACAGGAATTGACAAAATAGATAGGGAAGATTTCCTGAGACCTGGAACTTCAAGAACAAGACGTCATATATTAATTATAAAATGTCGATGTCATGCTGATAAGATGATGTCATAGATATAATTATTAGACTAAACGAAGATGCCGAAGAAACAAGAAAATTCCCTTTTGCGAACGCTGT